CAAACAGCGCTGGCACGGTAGAGAGAAGAGTTGATGTGGTAGGGAGTCTCGTGTAGGGCCTCCCAGGCCATCACAAAGATTTTGTTTTCACTCTGAGACCAGGTAAGATGGCATCAGACTCATCCAGCACCAGAATCAAAAAGTTGGGTCCAACCATTCTAGAAAACCAGCTATGAAGTCAAAACCCTTGAAATCTCTCTCTCTTTTCCGCTTCCCAAATACCTGTAATAGTAGGGATTGGACTAGGCCAAAGCCAGGAGGTGGAGACTTCATCTGGGTCTGTAAGGTAGGAGTGCTTGAGCCTGTTGCCTCCCAGAATACACATGAACAGGAAGCTGGATAGAACGTGGAAGTGGACTTCTCAGCCCAGCATTTGCTGTGGGAAGTGGAGACCCCAGCCAGTGGCTTCAGCCCTATGCCCAACACCTGCTGCTGTGGCAGCTTTGAGAGCCAGTTACTGTAGGCTTCATCTAGGCCCTTGAAGCAGAGCTGTCACTTTCTGGGTAATCTCAGTACAGATGGAGGATCCTGGTCCCCATTAAACTTCTGCAGGGCAGAGGCCCTGCAGTAACTGGATTCTCCAACCGGACCAACTCCCAGGGTACACTCAGCCCTTGTCTTTGAGAAACTGGGAGAAGATTGGTGGCTTTACAGAATCCAGCCCGCCCCTTACCTGGTCCGACAGTTCTGATAACCACTGTGTGCAGCAACTGAATTTACTTCTCCTTAAAATCCCTTCTCTTTCCCTTTTCGTCCTCTTCCCTTTTCCCTCATCCTCAGCTTGTTCAACTCTGACATGCCCTTTTAATACAAAGCTCAAATGTCACCTCCTTTTAGGAGGCTCCCCAGACCATACAGGTCAACACCAATTGCTCCCTTCTCTAGATCACAAGGTTGCACATTTTAATGCTTGAGTTTTTAGAGCTTCCAAGCACGAAGCTCTTAGCAGGTGCCAGGAATCTGAAACCTTTTAACACCTGAGTAAATGCTGTTATCACCATTTTACACCTGGACAGCTGGGCCAAGCGGGTAGCTTTACAAAGGCCTTAAAATTTGCAGTCAGGGCTGCATTCTGTCTTCAAAGCCAGGCCTGTCCTACTCTGAAACCCATCAATGCCTGCCCATGTCCCCCCACCCCCAACCCTGCCCCATCCTTATAATTTCAGAGCAGGTGTAGGGCCCCTCCGTCCACTGGCAGTACCTGTAGTTCTTTGCCTGAGCTCTTGCCCAGGGAGGTTCAGGTTCAGGAGCTGGGGAGTACTTTCCTGTGGGGGCAGTGCTCCACAAGCAAGGGGAAAGAGAGGTGTTTCCGTACTTAAGGGTGGGGGATCTGGACAGGCTGGCAGTGACAGAGGCTAAAAGCACTTGGAGGGCTGCCTTCCCTCCCTCCCTGCTCTGCCCCAACCTGCACTGGCTGGGAGGGCCTCCAAAGAACCCTCTGCCACTGACTCTTTAAGTCACTTAAAACCTACTTCTGAAGACCTGCATTGGCTAGGTGACCCTTCCTTGTCCCACCCTCCCCCCCACCCTTGGAAAATGACACCTCCAGGAAATTGGAGAAACTCCTGCCCCTCCCATAGCAGTTAACCATGTGGAGCATGGTAGATTGTAAATGCCAATCAACATTAGGTGCTGATTCATAGAGCCATTCCCAGCTACAGTACCCCCTACAAAAACAAACAAAAAAAACTACATTTGTGAGGCCCAGAAGAGATGAACAACTACTCTTCCTTGTGGACATCCAAGTTCCTGTTGAAATCCATGGTCAAAGTCATGACCTTGGCCAGTGTGCTCAGGCACCCATCTTCCCCCTGTCCTTGAAACTAAGTCCTTGCCTTGCACGCACTGGGATCCCATATGATTGCCCGTTTACTGTTCCAGTAGTCCTGCTTCCCTTCCAGCTTCCTGCTTGTGGCCTGGGAAAGCAGTAGAGGACGACCCAAAGTCTTGGGATCCTGTACCCACGTGGGAGACAAGGAAGAAGCTCCTGGCTTCAGATCAGCTTAGCTCTGGCCGTTGTGACCACTTGGGGAGTGAATCAGTGAATGAAAGATCTTTCTCTCTGTCTCTCCTCCTCTCTGTATATCTGACTTTCCAATAAAAAACAAATAAATCTTAAAAAAAATAAGTCCCTCTGGGGAGCAGGCGGCTCATGTGACCCCTCACCACCAAGATCACAGCCAACATCAATATCTGCAATTCGTTGGACTTTCATTTTTTTCCTGCCAATCCATTACAGTGTGTAGGCCCTCATAGTTACCTAGTGTCCTACTGGGCAGACCTGGACTAGACCAGCTAAGCTCATGAATTGGGAGAAGGATTTATTTTAGTCTTTGCTTCTGAGAAGCAGAGAGACAGACAGCTGGAAATCCCAAATGGTGTCAATGGTTGAGGTTGAGCCAGACTCAAATCAACAGATGGGAACTCAGTCCAGGTTTCTCACCTGGAAGGCAGGGACTCAACCACTGAGTCACTGCCTGCTGCTTCCCACACTCTGAGCTGGCAGGAAGCTGGGATGTGGATCCAGAGGCTGAACTTGAACCCAGGTACGCTGGTAAAATTGGCCACCTTTGGTGATTGGTGCTGGAACGGCAGTGTGTGAGCTTATGGTAGTCCCTGGGACAGAACCAGCCAACTCAGTGATTCTGTTTCCTAACCCACAGGAACTATGTGAATGAGATTACTGCTGTGGTTGGAAGCTACTACATGTAGGAATATTTCTGATATGTGCCCAATGATCTAATACATGAGAGTCCTTCAAAAAAAATTTGTTCAGGGCCTGGTGAGATGGCTCAATTGGCTGATCCTCCACCTGCAAGTGCCAGGATCCCATATAAGCATTGGTTCATGTCCTGTCTTCTCCACTTGCTATCCAGCTCCCTGTTTATGGCCTGGGAAAGCAGCAGAGTCTGGCCCAAGGCCATGAGACCCTGCACCCATGTTGGAGACTGGAACAAGGCTCTTGGCTCCTGACTTCAATCAGCTCAGTTCCAGTCATTGTGGTCATTTGGGAAGTGAAACAGCAGAAGGAAGATCATTCTTTCTGTCTTTCTTATCTATAAATCTGTCTTTCCAACAAAAACAAATAAATCTTAGAAAAGAAAAGTGTTCATGGAAAATCAAAATGAAAGCCAAATTTATTTTTGTGCCCCCAAATGCTAAACTCTGTTTACAAGGGCTATTTAGAAAGTTCACCAAGGGGTGGGTTTTGGCTGTACAGTTAGAGCAACAGTTGTATGTCCATGGAACATAATTGAGTGCTGGCTCAAGTCCCGTCTCTGCCTCCCAATTCTGTCTGCTAGTACACATCCCGGGAAGTGGCAGGTGGTTAGATCTCTGCTATTCATAAGGGAGTCCTTGGATGAGTTCCTAGCTCCTGACTTGAGCCTGGCTCAGCCTCAGCCATTGCAGGCACTTGGGAAGTCAAGCCATGATGGGAGTTCTGCCTGCCCTTCGGCCTCTAAAAAGAAAGTTTATGAGCCTGGTGCTGTGGCTTAGTGAGCTAATCCTCCACTTGTGGTATTGGTATCCCATATAAGCATTGGTTTGAGTTCTGGCTGCTCCACGTCCAATCTAGCTCCCTGCTAATATGCCTGGGGAAGCAGCAGAGGATGACCCAAGTGCTTTGGACCATACATCCATGTGGGAAACCCAGAAAAAGCTCTTGGCTCCTGGCTTTGAACCAGCCTAGTTTTGGCCATTGCAGCCATATGGGTAGTGAACTATTGGATGGAAGAGTACTCTCTCTGTCTTTCCACTCTCTGTATATAATTCTTTCAAATAAAAAGAACCAAATCTTTTGAAAAAAGGTCATGAATAGTGTGCATAATGAAAAACTATGTATGTATTTTAATTTTCTTTCAAAATACCATGTATTTTTTTCATAAAATGCATTTTTTCATTAACTTTTTGAAGTCCCTTTGTTTGTTTGGATTTCAGTATTATGATTACACCACAAAAAAAGTTATCCTTTAATTCCATTTCCACAAACTTCCCAAAGTACTCATTTATACTGACTTACATTTTCAATGTTTTCCCCATTGCGGTACCTTCACTGCTAAAGCCCTCACCTTGCACACGCCAGGGTATATGGGCATCGGTTCTAACCCTGGCCATCTTGCTTCCCATCCAGCTCCCTGCTTGTGGCCTGGGAAAGCAGTTTAGGATGACCCAAAGCCTTGGGACCCTGTACGCACATGGGAGACCTGGAGGAAGCTCCTGGCTTCGGATCAGGGCAGCTCTAGTCATTGCAGCCACTGGGGGTTGGGTGAATCAGTGGATGAAAGATCTTCTTTGTCTCTCCTCCTCTCTGTGTATCTGACTTTCTAATGAAAATAAATAAAATTTAATTTTTTTCATTGTGTTTAAATATGATCATCCATTCTTTGGCATGAGTTTATAGTCTGAGATCTTTGGCATGGTATTCATCAAAGGAGAGTGACACTGCTCTCTGGGGAATGGGTTTGGGGAATAATAGTTCTTGTGCTTAACCTTGCTGCCCTTGAACTACTTTTTATTTTTTAAGATTTGTTTTTATTGAAAAGTCAGATACACAGAGAGGAGAGGCAGAGAGGAAGATCTTCTATCCGTTGATTCACTCCCTTAAGTGGCTACAATGGTCAGAGCTGCACCAATCCCACGCCAGGAGCCTCTTCGGGGTCTCCCACATGGGTGCGTACAGGGTCCCAAGGTTTTTGGCTATCCTTGACTGCTTTCCCAGGCCACAAGCAGGGAGCTGGAAGGGAAAAGAACTGGCACCCATATGGAATCCTTGCATGTGCAAGGCGAGGACTTATCAGAATGCTGATTCCAGTCCCAGCTACTCTGCTTCACATCCAGTTCCCTGCAAATGTGCTTGGGAAAGCAGGGGAAGATGGCCCAAGGTGCTTGTATTCCTGCCACCCACATTCCTGGCTCCTGGTTTCCACCTGGCCTAGCCCTATTTGTCACTCTGCCTTTCAAATATAGACATCTCTACACACACACACACACACACACACACACACACACACACACACACAGATTTGGAGCCAGTGGAGGGGGAAGAGGTGGAAGAGGTGTTATTCACCCAGGTCCCGGCCAGGTGTCTACAGGAAGCAGGTGCACCACTCCTTCAGGCATTTGGAGCTCCTCTTGGCCTCACACTCAGTGGCACCGCAGCAATAGATGATCCAGTTCTGAAATGCAGCTTCATTCTTGTGCATCAGAAGGAACTGCCCCAAGAGGATGTAGGCCTGAGGGGGGAGTGGGCAGAGAGACAGGGCAGGGATATTATAATAATCCGGTCTCCGTGTTTTCTTCCTCCTTCACCCACCCTGAGAAAATCATCAGGACTCATGGGTTCCCCTCAAGGCAGTCTCCCAGTCCCTGCCACCTGATGGGGGCTGTGTGGATGCCCAGGTTAGCATCCTGTGTAAGCGAGGTTAAGGGAAACCCATATCATTATCTGAGCTGGCTGGGGGGCTGCCAGCCTGGGAAGAACGAGACTCTGTGCTCTTGAAACCGTGACCAACCCAGGACCCCCAGTGTCCCCATCAGAGGCAGGTGTCACTCGGAGGGTCTCAGCATGGAGGAGAGAAGGCCAGCACTTCTGCCATGCTCCCTGCTAAGGCCAGTCCAGGCACCTTGGTTTGAGTGGCAGGACCTGGCCTGCTTCTGAGGCTCCCATCCCATGCATGATCTTGGATTTCTTTCTTTTCTCTTTCTCTCTCTCATATAAGGCAACCTTTATGCAAAATACAAAACAAATAGATATGTAGATAAACATGTATATGTATTCTCACAGATTAACTGTAGAATGAAGACTGCCATACCAGGAAGTGAATATACGTTGCAGTTTGTAACTCTACTCCCAAATAGAAGGTGAACTCCCAATGAAGCTGTTAAATATACCTTGACAATAGGATATTAGACTTTCTATTATTGTCTATACTTACAGTGCCTTGATACATTGAAATAGCAGGATGTTTGGTGATTGTCACTGAAGGACTATACTATTATAATATGGGGAAAATAGCAGGGTGTCATGAGGGGGTGGAAAGGGGAATCCCTGTACCTATGAAGGAATATCGTGAAAAATTTAAAAATAAATAAATAAATAAAATCTTGGATTTCTGTCTTTGAAACACACGCAACATGGAGGGAGAGACACTCTGACCCCATACCGCCTCCACGGCCATGGCTTGTCAGCCTTGACACTGTTTGGGGAACTCTGTGTCATGAACGGCTCTTATATGCGTGGGAGGTCATTTAGCAATGGCCCTGACCTCTGTCCACCAGTCGCCAGTGTAACTCCTCCCTCCCACCCACCATCTCCAGACTTTGGCCAAATGTCCTGCACTTGAGAGCCACAGCACTTGGAGCTGGCAGAGTTACCTTAGTGTGGAGGTGTCCTGGGGGCTCTCAGGCAACTCAGGTAGCCTGAAGTCAAGCTCAGTATCTCAGGCAAATTAAGAGCCCAAATTGGGCCAGTGGGTGTGGGCGGGAGGTGGGAATGGATGACAGGATGACCATGCAAACTCCTTTTTTGTCCTGGAAGAGGAAGCCCTTAAGGAGGGAAAAGGCAGGTCCCTAAACCTACCTAAACTCAACCTGAGAATTTGCTGATGAAAATAAGCCATACATTGAAAATCAGGTTTCTGTGGTTTTGTGTGTTTATTAATGCTTTTTTTTTTTTTACAAAAGATTTATTTATTTTTATCAGAAAGGCAGATATACAGAAAGGAGAAGAGACAGAGAAGATATTCCATCTGTTGATTCACTTCCTAAGTGGCCACACAGCTGGAGCTGGGCCGATCTGAAGCCAGGAGCTTCTTTCAGGTCTCCCACGCGGTTGCAGGGTCCCAAGGCTTTAGGCTGTCCTTGATTGCTTTCCCAGGCCACAAGCAGGGAACTGGATGGGAAGCAGGGCTGCCGGGATTAGAACTGGTGCTCATATGGGATCCTGGCACGTGTTAAGGTGAGGACTTCAGCCCCTATGCTAGTGTACCGGGCCATACTAATGTTTTTAAAGATTTATTTACTCATCTGAAAGGCAGAGTTACACAGAGAGAGATCTTCTAATCTGCTGGTCCACTTACCAAATGGCCACAATGACTAGAGCTGGGTTGGTCTGAAGCCAGGAGCCAAGATCTAGTAGCCAGGAGCTGTGGGTCTCCCACATGGTACCCAAGTCCTCAGGCGATCCTCCATGTTTTCCCAGACACATTAGCAGGGAGCTGAATTAGAACTGAAGCAGCCAAGATTCAAACCAGTATCTATATAGGACGCTGGCACACAGATGGCAGCTTCACTCACAATGCCACAGTGCCATCTTCTCACCACCTTGCCCTCCCTTCCCCCATTGTCTAGTTTGCTAAGGATTTGTACCCATAGCTTTTCTTTTCTCTTTTTCTCATGGGATCACAGCATTGCAGTTCAAGAACAAGAACTGCAGGAAGCAAGGGAATTCCTAGACACTGACCATGAACTTCAGGTCTGTCCAGGGCCAGCACACAGACTGGGCTGCAGATTCTCCAGGCAGCACCCAGCAGCCAGCCACCCACGCCTCTGGGCTCCAGGCCCTTCCAGGAAAACCTGCTGCTGGCTGTTTACTTTCAGTGGCATCCAACAAAGCAAATTTGATCTCAACCAAAGGGAACATATTTTTTCCCCTTAAGAGATCAGATTGAAGTGGAATCCCAGCCATAAAGCATACCTGGGCTTTGGAGCTTGGGGTTTTATTTTTGGTCATGGTGCCGTTGTCAAAAAGAGGAAAGAGCCAGGATTTCATGGTGATTTGCAGCTGTGGCTTTAATCATCTTTTTAAAACAGCCACACAGTGATGTTCAGTGTAATCTCGCTTTGCTTTCCCTGGGGTGGATTTTACTGAGATCTTTTTTTTTTTTAAGCGAAATTTTTAACAATAAGCATTTATTATAAAGTGCTGTAGGTCTGTGAAGTGCTGAGGTCATGAGGACAGGTTCAAGAGATAAAGAGCATTGTCCAAGGACACAGAACACATCAACGAGAATAATAAATGTTACTGTTATTAATTAATACAAGTTGAGCATTCCTGACCCAGAAATCCAGAATATTCCAAACTGCAAGACTTTTTTGTGCACTGACAGGACGCCTGAGTGCTTGAGGGGAAATTCCATCTCATGGACAAAATTATTAAAAATACTGCATAAGATTACAGGCTGCATGAGTAAGGCACATAGAAACAAACGAAATTGGTACTTAGACTGGAGTTGCCTAAGGTGTTTTCTTGTGTTCATGCAAATATTCCCAAATCCCCAAAACCTTGAATGAAATCTGAAACACTTCTTGCCCCAGGCATTTTCAATAAGTGGTAGTCAACCTGGTTCTTTTTTTTTTTTTTTTAAATATTTTTACCTGAAAGGCAGTTACATAGAGAGGGATAGAGAGATAAAAAATTTTTTTTCATCTGCTGGCTCACTCCCCAAATGGCCAGCCAGGAACCAGGAGCTTCTTCCTGGTCAATGTAGGTGTCCTGGCCCAAAGACTTGGGCCACCCTCTCTGCCTTCCCAGGCACACTGGCAGGGAGCTGGATTCAAAATGGAGCAGCTGGAACTACCCTGTATGCCACAATGCTGGTGGCAGCTTACTTCCAGGACACCTGGCATGACCCTTACATGCGCACACCAGTGCATCTCCAGCTGCAGCAATGCCAGGGGTGGGGATGAAGGCTGATGCTTTCTTTGCACAGCCCAGACATCCATAATTTGACCTGGAGGCTCGGATATCTTCTGAGACCTTACTGTTGGCATTAGCTGCCCTGGCCATTGGAACCTCTACCTCCCACCAGGCTAAGTGGCAGGAAGCCCGGGAGTGTGTGGCACGCAGGACCCAGGCAAACTTTCCAGGAAGAAGGACCTCGTCTTGCAGTCTCCGGGGCCAAGATGCAACCTGACGCTCTCTCCTCAGCTTTCCCTCCAGTCTCACCTTGCATCTTCTTGCAGGTGAGGAGTGAAGTCGGTGCCTTCTTTCATCCCTGAAGAGTAGCCTTGCTCCCTAGGGAAGCCTGGGCTGCTGTCACCACCAGGCGCAATGCTTGAATAGTCTTTCCACTCAAAGCCAGCCCTTCTCCCTTCTTGGGCCACAGATCCCAGAAACCCAGCTGTCAGCAGCGTGACATACAAACATGGCAACTCTCACTGTCCTGGACTGCTGCCATGGCAAACCAGGGGTCATGTTCTTTTCCTGTGGATAACAAGATGGGAGTTCAAGGGCAGTTCCCCTCAACTGCAAATTCAACAGGGAAGTTCTTCCAGGGGCTTGGCCTTCCAGCTCACCTGGTCCACTCTGTTGAATGGCCACACTGGGGTCAATGATCTGTGTGTGGGACCTGTGTTCCCAAGTGTTCTGCTCTCAGTAGAGTCCTCAGCTTGGTTCAGCTTGTGCTGTCACCATCTCAGGGTCTGGACACATCCGAACACAGCACCTCACATGGAATTTTGCACTGAGCCCTGCAGATCAGACAGCTGGCCCTGGTCCACATTCAAAACGCTCGATGTCCACTATGACAGCTGGCCTTTTGGAGACTTGTTGCCTTGGCTTCTCTTTCCCACAAATTTCTAGCATGTCCCCTGCGCGAGTCCTTATGGCCTTGGCACCTGTACTGTGCAATGACAGTTCTCTAACTGGCCAAGGGATCCTAACTCTTCAAGTTCACAAGAACCAATAGGATCTAAGTAAATCCAACATCTCATGGTCATTTCAGGTGAACACTCTGACTTTGGTGTGAAGGCTCAGTCAATGTGAGCTTCACACTCTTTCTTTCTCCTGGGACACGCTCACATCAACAAAAATCAACTTTAGGCCTGCACTGTGGTGTAGTTGGTTAGGATATTGCCTGTGACACTAGCATCTGCATATGGGTAATGGTTAGTTCCCAGCTACTCCATTTCCAAATCAGTTCCCTGCTAGTCATCTCGGAGGGGAGCAGAGGATGACTAGTGCTTGAGCCCCTGTACCCTCATGGGAGATTCAGATGAAGCTCCTGATTTCTGGCTTTGGCCTGACCCAGCACTGGCTATCACTGTTGTGCTTGACTGGGGAATAAACCAGCAGGTGGAATGTCTCTTTCTCTCTCTCTTTATGTGTGTGTGTGTGTGTGTGTGTGTGTGTGTGTATCCCTGTCTGTAACTCTGACTTCCAAAAATAAGTGAAGCGGCTGGCACTGTGACATAGTGGGTAGAGCTGGTGCCTGCAGCACTGACATCCCACATG